TTTAATGTTATCTTACTTTTGCAGTAGTTTCCTTCCAGCTCTGGAATGCTTTGTAGGCCACTTTGATGGCTCTGTCGGTGTCTGTGGCATCCATATCTGGCACGGAGCCGATAACTTTACCATTGGCAGGGTTCACAACTGAATTAAAGTCATGTTATAATTGTTAACAAAGGCATTCACCATCACTTGCTAAACAATTAACTTTCTATTAAAGTTATATTTTGTAGATACTAGATAGGCATCTCTTAATCAGATAGAGGAAAACATAATTTAATCAAGAATTTGTTGAGCTTAATCAATACAATTTACCAGAAATTACATGTGTATCTACAAGTATTTGTGTGTCTTTTTGTTTATATGTAGTAACTTAATTTCACTGTTAAGAAGCATCCAGTAGTGTATACATTACACCAGTTTCTAGTAAAAAAAAATAAAATAAAGAAAAAGAAATGTACACTACATTTATGTTATGTCAGTTCCACTTTACTGCAATTCCATCAACACTATCTTTCTGTGAAAAAAAATCCTACTTTACCTTGATTACATTATTGGCTTTTTCATGACTTTCATAGTCTTATTATAGTTTCATGTATTAAATCTTTCAGTGTGTGTCCCTGACCTCTGTTAGCCAGTTAAACCTGTTGCCCAATGGCCAATGCCCTTACTCTTTGTTAGCTCTGGGGATCCTTTTAATGAGGTCTAACTTTCCTTACACAGTTATACCAACCTTCAAATGTTTTGCCACTGCTGGCTGCTACCCATTCTCCATTGATGAAGGCTTTATCACATACAAAGGAACTGGCAGATCTCGCTCCTGGTTTAGGTGGGGCTAAATTGTCCATAGCTTTTTGAAAGGATGAAAATAATCGAAGCCTTGATGTTGAGGAGAAAATTCTTAGTGTTGCCAGGATCGGCTAAAAAATAAATAACTTAAATAATATGATAAACACCAGCATTATTTATTAGAATTAGACCATTTCTAATCATTTCCCTCAAAACTAATTTAGAAATGAAAATATGCACCACGATACGATTCATATTTATAATATATATGATTTTGTTTTAATATAAAACTTGAATGGCACATGGATTTTCATCAGTATGTACTAATGTAGCAAATATAGTTTTCACAACAGGGACTTAAGACAGTCTTTAAACCCGATGATTTGGTAAGATTGTCTCAAGTCCTGTGACTCACTGTTCTATATACAGATATATACACTGTACACTGTACAAATACTTTTTTCTTTATGAGACGAATGCAAGTCGTGACAACACAAAAATGGAAATGCATACGTAAAAACATGTTTACATTTTAGAAAAAGTGTTAACTACGAGCCTTGAATCATTATTTTATACCATTTTCTATCTTTTAACACTCCAGGACGTTACATTCCAGTGAAGGTAGGTCATGTTGAGTTTCTACTTTCACTTTCGACAGTTCATAGTTCCTGTACGAGTTATACCCCTTTGCATACTAAAAACATAGGTCCGCGATATACACTAATGAGACAAACTCAAATACACCAAATTATTTGTTAATCGTTTTCGACATCGTATTTGAATATATCTAAAATTGGTACTTTTAATGAAACAAGATAGAAACTAGGAGACTTATTGTTCAAAGAACAATAAGAGGTCTTTCCACCTTTTGAATTTCAATTTCATTTATAATTTATCTCTTTAAGATTAAATTTCATAAAAAAGAAACCAGGAATGGCTTAAAAGAAGAAAAAAAATAAAAATTAAAAATTTTTCAGGTGAATTTGACCTTTGACCTTCAAATCATATTCAAGGTCAAAGGTCAAGGGTCACATTGTAATTAACCTCATGTCTCTATGACTTATAGTTTTAAAGTTATAAGGTTGAATAGTAAGCACAAAAGCATTAAAGGGCAATAATTCATTCAAGGAGTCACCAGATCCTATTGCGCTTAAACATAAAAGTTTTGCCTCAAGTCCCATCAGACATTAGAGCAGTTTTCATGTCTTTTCGGTTTACGGTTTTGGAGCAATAGCAAATAAAATGTTTTTTGCACAAAGGGCAATAACTTTTAATAGGGTCAATCTTAAGGGACAAGAATGAAATGTTTGAAACAGTTTTAAGAGTACATATTAATGATGCATAGACATTAAACATATGTTGAAAGACAAAAGAGATATAAAAAGAACTAAATTTCTCAGTTTTGGAATGACCTTGACCTTTCACCTTTACATGAATTTTAAGCTCAAAGGTCAATGAATCTTATGCAGTTGGGCGCATGTCTCTACACCTTCTCGTTTTGAAAATTTTTTATTATTTGTAAAATTCAAAAAGTTTCAGGGGCAATAACTCATTGAAGGGGTCATCGAAGACTTTCACAATGAATAGATTATCGAAGACTTTTGAAGGTTTCATATTTCTACGGTTTACGGTTTTGAAGTAGTAGCGATAACAAGGTTTTTCGCACAAAGGGCGATAACTTTTAATGGGGTCAATCTTACGGAATACGAATTTTACCTTTTAAATAGTTTTAAGAGAACATATTAATGATGCTAAGACAGTTTGTATATGCTATGCGACAAAAAAGATATAAAAAGAGCTTAATTTCTGAAATTTGGAATGACCTTGACCTTTGACCTTTGCAATAATTTCATGACCAAATGTGAATGAATCTTATGCAGTTGGTCCCATGTCTCTATCACTTCTCGTTTTGAAAATTTTCAATTATTTGTAAAATTCAAAAAGTTTCAGGGGCAATAATTCATTGAAGGGGTCACCGAAGACTTTCGCAATGAATAGATTCCAGAGTGCTCTCAATTAGTCGAAGACTTTAGTGAAGGTTTCATATTTCTACGGTTTACGGTTTCGAAGGAGTAGCGATAACAAGGTTTTACATGAAAGGGGCAAGAACTCCGTAAGGGGTCATAGGTCATATACGTTGGGTTGTTTTTCGAAATAACTTTTAATATCCAATATCATGAACTAAAAAGTTTTTCGATAAGTCTTTCGGTTCAAAAGTCCATAGCGGAAAAATAATAATAATAATAATAATAAACAGAAGCATTTCAAGAGGTCTTTCCACAGAAAGGTGGAAAGACCTAAAAAGAAGACAGGAAATACGAAACATGATAGTGACAGTTACATTTGACAGTTAAGTAATTATTATACGTGCATGTACATTAATTACTCATTTACTGACAGCTAAGAGAGAGAAAATCAAATCACGCTGACTTGTTACAAAACTGTTGTATTTAATTCATATAAACAGCGGACATGGATTATAAGCCAGCCATTCTTAACTTCTTGAGATTACCTTCCACGTGTCACAGTGTAATGGCAATGAATATGTACTGAGATAAGTGAAAAAGTGGGTCATTTTTCCTGTTGGAAATGGACTGTATTCTAATACATGTCATATTTGCATTAGGGCCTATATCATGTATATTACGGCAGGCCAAATGATTGAATAGTGGCCATGGTGATCTGCGAAACTGCGAGAGGTTCGGTGATAACGGTGGTAACAGCTACATGTAGGACTGTCGGTATACCCCTCATCGTCTCAAGGTCCGGAGTCCGCATATATATCTATGGGAGAGGATCGTACATTATGGCCGTGGTTTGCAAGCCGACGATGTACACCACTCAGGGTGCATGATAGTTATGCAAATGAAATGATAGAGTGTGAGTTACAACGCACTTTGAAAAGTTACGCACTTTCAAACAAAAAATATTTCTTTTCAAAATGCGTTAATATAATTGTATGGCACGCCAAATTCACAAAAATGAGATAATCATAGTTTCACAATTGATAAACTAGGTTTATCGACTGTAAACTATAGTTTACAAACCATAAACTATAGTTAACGATTTGTTAAGTATAGTTTTTATCCGTAAAACTATATTTAACGGTTGTTAACTATAGTTTACGAATGTTAATTTAAGTTTATCTGTCTGTTACAGCGTTAACAATAGATTTTGTTGATAAACATAGATTTACGTTTGTAAACTATAGTTTACAATCGTAAACTATAGTTAAGAGTTGTTAATCATAGTTTCAGAAATTGTGAAACTATATTTATCAGATCGTTAACTATAGTTAACGGTTTGTAAACTATAGTATACAAATCGTGAAACTGTATTATCAGATAATCTATGTTTTGCAATCGCAAATGATTGTTTTCGGTGTTAAGTATAGTTTACGGTTGTGAAACATAGATTATCGCTAGTTTATCGATTGTGAAACTATGATTATCTCATTTTTGTGCATTTGGCGTGACAAAGTATTGACTATATTAACGCACTTTGAAAAATGTGCACGGATCAATATTCTAGAAAATGTCTATATTTTGTATTTTGAACAAAATGTGCATGTTGATGGTGGTAAACCTTCTTTATTCTATATCATGTACACCTGTATATTCTCAAAACTATTAAGAGAAAGTATATCAATGTCATACCAGTTATAATAAATATTTTTGTGTAAGAAAGATCAAGGGATTGGATGAGGGACCTTTAACCTGTTTTGTCCTCGTTCTCTTTGAGGGTATGACAATTCGTTATTTTAGCGAAACATACAGAAATAATGCAATCTATTACTAAAAATTCAGTCAAAAATTTTTGTTAAATGTATATTATTTCAAGGTGTTTCAGTGTCCCCTTGGCTAAAAAATTAATATATATTGCACTTAGAGAAAAGTTTCAATTAGTGCGTTGATTTTGTTCCCAAAACGTACTTTTTTTTAAAGTTCGTTGGTTTTGTCCAAATTTTTACGCACTTTGAAAAACAAATAATAAAATTATTTCAAAGTGTGTGGCCACGAGGGTTTTATAAAATAGTAAAGCTTTTTTATATATATATATAAATCTTTGATCAGCAATGGCCAACTGAATTTACACTGCGTTTGTGGAGTCTATGCGTATTTACATGCTTGAGGACATGACATTGTTCCTCTTAGGTAAAAAAAAAACTCTCAAATCACACAGAATACTAGTATACAAATAATATACAAACTCAGTGTAGCAAGTGTTTTTTCGACACGTGCCCTCCCTTGGCTCGTGATCGAGGAGAGGTGTAGCGAAGTGATCGAATGTACTAACGGGATAGACAACTCCATCAGTTAAACTTCGGTTGTTAATTTCTCCTGTTTATAAGTGTTAATATTTCCCTTGACTCTCTATGTTTTTTAAATCTTCTAACCAATTAGATCAATAGCACTTTCGAAACTAAGGTATCCTCAAATAGGCGGAGACATTTAAACCGCATGGTTGTGGAATGTAAACATTGGCACATATGATTTTTTCGCACTACGAAATAAAAGTGGAGAAGAGAGAGAGAGATCGAGATCAGTCGTATTGATTTTATGGTGCAGAATTATTTTAAAATGATTTTTATATTAAGGGATGGTGTAGATGTCTCGCTCTGCAGACCATAATACAGAGGCGACATAAGCCTATACATGTACTTACGAATGACACTGTCAATACCAGAATTCTTTCAAAACACCCCTAACGAAAAGCATAAAGTTAAAAAAAAGACATATTATCTTTGAACCTTATTAAAATTTGCACATAAATCTTCCATAGTTTGAAATTGGAAGTACGATAGATACTTTCACAACAGATCGAGACTTAAACACAATGAAATTTTCAATGAAAGCGTTAGCCTATCGAACAGCAGAAGGTCACGTGAGAAAGGTGATTATGATATCAATCGTTGATGCTCGGTGACCGGTTAATTTAGAAGCTATTTCGACCCTAGTTTGGGGACATTTTTTTTTAATTAGATATGAGCCGCAACTTGGCCAACATTGTCTTTTGGATATGTATAAGTGTAAGTTAAAATACACATTCTGTGCAAATAAGAAAAATGGCCAAGTTGCGGCTCTGTGTAAACAAAATCGTTGAAAACTGGTATGAATATGAATAACAATAGAAATGAGACAAAACTGTTAGACCCCCATCCCAAAAGCTAGTGTCGCTCGGCATTATTTAATACTTTCATGTAATATATAATATACAAAAACCTGCTCTTAAAATATTGTTTAATACCTATAAAATATAAATTTAATGAATTTTGGAATTTTATTTTGCGCAAAATATCGGGATCCAACTCTTATATAGCTTAAATGCAGTCATTCTTTCGAAGAATGCAAATGACCTTTTTGAAAATATAAACTTTCAAACCAATGGTACGATGTTCATTTCGTTGTAGGCAAATGTTATTTAAGTATCAGAATAGGTCGTTTGTGATAGTCTCTTCATTGTCAAAGAAGAAGATAGAAGGGGAAAAGTGGGAAATGACGTTGAAAACCTTGGGATAATGTAACAATCTAAACTATGCTAAAAAAGATCAAATCTTGATTTAAACCATATTTCTATTTTCTTTAGAGAAGTGGACAGGCTTTTGCCTACTTCTCTAAAAAGAATACCATATTTCAAGTAAGTCATCGTTCTACGCGTCCAGCGCCTCTGATCCCTTCCGCTCCAAGTACTAAGTATACGGAGAGGGGGTCAGAAATCCTTGACATGGGAAAATGGATTAAATAGCCTGATATGGAAAGCTTTGGGGATATCCAGAAACCAATAAACAATGAAGTCAAATGGCTGAAGATAATAGCTAAGCATTCTGTAAAACCTGTACTTTTTTTCTTTCAGACATTAAATCTTTTGGAGAACATTTACATCTCACTACCTCCAATATCAAATAGCTTTCAGAGCAGACGTCTAATGAAATGTGAGGAGATTGTGAATCGCGTTGACTTCATTTCAAAACGACTAGAAGAGGTACATGTATTTATCTTACCATCATGAGAAGTCTGTTGAACAATATTTGCGTAGTTCGAAATTCATTCATCCCACAACATACTTACATTGATAGCAAATGTCTGCATTAATTAATTTGTTAATTGATTATTGATTAGTTCGATTTTAAATAGTATATTCTTATAACAGATCCTAAAATTGTATTCCAAGGAATTTTTTCAAGTTTTGAAAATAAAAATGCAGCAATAATAACATACAATGAAACCCATAATATAATTTTAAAAAACCAGAAGTCTCTGTCGAGACTGAAGCTCTACTGGTTTGTACTTATAGCAAAGGAAGAGAAAAGTACTTAAGCAATTGGGAATTGAAACTTTGCAACAGCAATAAATAGAATAATGATCCTTGATAAAGTCTCTTTATGTTCTTAGTGTAGTCTACTTGTGTGCCAAGTTATATTGAAATCAGACCAAAACTGTAGGAGGAGTAGCATTTTGAAATAATTTTATAGACATTTTTATTCTTAGTAACCACGGCAATACCATTCACAGAAATCAAAAACCGATAAACACAATTATGGATCTTAGTGTAGTCTACTTGTGTGCCAAGTTATGTTGAAATCAGACTAAAACTGTAGGAGGAGTAGCATTTTGAAACAATTTTACAGAAATTTCTATTTTTAGTAACCACGACAACACCGTTCAAGGAAATCAAAAACCGATACACCTAGTTATGTATCTTAGCGCAGTCTACTTGTGTGCCAAGTTATATTGAAATCAGAACAAAACTGTAGGAGGAGTAGCAGTTTCAAACAATTTTACAGAAATTTCTATTTTTAGTAACCACGACAACACCGTTCATGGAAATCAAAAACCTATAAACCTAATTGTGTATCTTAGTGCAGTCTACTTGTGTGCCAAGTTATATTGAAATCAGACCAAAACTGAAGGAGGAGTAGCATTTTGAAACCATTTTAATGAAATTTCTATTTTTAGTAACCACGACAACATCGTTCATGGAAATCAAAAACCTATAAACCTAATTGTGTATCTTAGTGCAGTCTACTTGTGTGCCAAGTTATATTGAAATCAGACCAAAACTGAAGGAGGAGTAGCATTTTGAAACCATTTTAATGAAATTTCTATTTTTAGTAACCACGACAACATCGTTCATGGAAATCAAAAACCGATACACAGAATTATGTATCTTAGTGTAATCTACTTGTGTGCCAAGTTATATTGAAATCAGACCAAAACTGTAGGAAGAGTAGTATTTTGAAAGAAATTTCACAGAAATTTCTATTTTTAGTTACCACGGCAACATTGTTTATCGAAATCAATAATCGATAAAAAGAATTATGTATCTTAGTGTAGTCTACTTGTATGCCAAGTTATATTGAAATCAGACCAAAACTGTAGGAGAAGTAGCATTTTGAAAGAATTTCAGAAATTTCTATTTTTAGTAACTACGACAACACCGTTCAAGGAAATCAAAAACCGATACACAGAATTATGTATCTTAGTGTAATCTACTTGTGTGCCAAGTTATATTGAAATCAGACTAAAACTGTAGGAGGAGTAGCATTTTGAAAGAAATTTCACAGAAATTTCTATTTTTAGTTACCACGGCAACACCGTTTATCGAAATCAAAAACCGATAAACAGAATTATGTATCTTAGTGTAGTCTACTTGTGTGCCAAGTTATATTGAAATCAGACCAAAACTGTAGTAGGAGTAGCATTTTGAAAGAATTTCATAGCAATTTGTATTTTTGGTAACCACGGCAACACTGTTTATCAAAATCAAAAACCGATATACAGAATTATGTATCTTAGTGTAGTCTACTTGTTTGCCAAGTTATATTGAAATCAGACTAAAACTGTAGGAGGAGTAGCATTTTGAAAGAAATTTCACAGCAATTTCTATTTTTAGTTACCACTGCAACACCATTTATCGAAATCAAAAACCGATACACAGAATTATGTATCTTAGTGTAGTCTACTTGTGTGCCACGTTATATTGAAATCAGACCAAAACTGTAGGACAAGTAGCATTTTGAAAGAATTTCACAGCAATTTGTATTTTTAGTAACCACGGCAACACCGTTTATCAAAATCCAAAACCGATAAACAGAATTATGCATCTTAGTGTAATCTACTTGCGTGCCAAGTTATATTGAAATCAGAGCAAAACTGTAGGAGGAATAGCATTTTGAAAATTTGTTTACAGACAGACGGACGGACGGACGGCGTACGCATTACTATCGCATAAGCTCTTCTCGTCTCTGACCAGTAGAGCTAATGAAGTATGTACATATGTACGTATTAACTGTATTATAATGATTCGAAAGACTTCTTTTCTTTTTTTTTTAATTATAGTTAACATGTTCATGTACAAAGTTATTTTTGTATGGAATAATACATAACTTAATTATTTTCTAATCCAAAATATATTATTTCTAATTAGATGCTGCTGGGTACAATTACACTGAAGGATTGCCAAAAAATCACAAACATATCAGAATCTACTCTCAAACAAATTGTGCGATCTGTGTCTACTTTCGATTTGGATCAAGAAGGAGCTACAAGCCACGGATCAGTGGAGGGACTGGGCGGAAGACTCTAATTTGTCTCTGTTGACGCAGGCTTCCCATGAAGTCCAGCGTTCTATCGCCAGAAACAGCACCTCCTCATAAGCATTCTACTTGACATATGTATATACCCAGATTAACATGTATTTTCTACTAAAAAATGATATTCAAGAGCAGCATTTTCATTTTTGGAGGCACTGCTGCATTCGCTTAAAGGGGGCCTTTGTCTAGTCTAGTCAAAATCAAATATATATTACTATTTTTTATTTCATCCTCAGCTTATCATAAAGCATTCTGACTATTTCAATAATCCAGTAATGCTTGCCCCTTTATGAGCATTACAATAAAGCCTGAGAACAATTGAGATATCTGTGATTAAATAGAGTAAAGGTTCATATGAAATTGTAAAATCAGAGACATTACAGTATCTGTTTTTTTTTTTATTATTATTTATTACTTATTAATGTACATGTTTTATACCCCACTTTCCTGTTTTTCAAAGTTTGCATTTATTTGTTTTTTTATTTATATACAATTAAAAAAAAATGCAACTGTTTTATAATTTTTTTTCTTAAATTTATAATTGTATTGCATAACATATCTTTATGTTTAACATATGTCACATTATACAAAGATAATAACAATCCAGCTACATAACATTAAACGTTATATAGGTCCCTGATTATATTGATCAAAGATTTATCAAATAATCATATTCATTTTGTTAAAATCAGTAAATATATTCAAGTGAAATAAATGTACTCTTTGGGGTTCCTGAAAAAATTGGTTCATAATAATGTTTAAACATTGTATTTCTATATTTTCGGATAATTCTCAAAGTGATAATAAAAAGCAGATACAATGCATCTCAAAGAACAATATAATAAAGTAATGACAAAGTATTTTCCGTGGCTATATCACTTTACAGACTGCGGCTATAAGTACCAGTAGACCCCACTTTTTCCAAAGCAGGAAAATAAAAATACATCATTATTGCAATTTATTTTTAATATAATATTTTTTTTTTAAAGATGGGAAAGAAAAAAGTTTTTGACACAGTCAAATAGGTAACAAATACATTTTATTCCATTGGAAGAAATAAAAATAAAATCATTAAAAATATGATGACAGATCATTAACAATCACATTTCTGTTGCAAAATAAGAATAACTTCTCCTCTCAAATGTATATTTTTTACAGCCCAGACTAATATAACTTTTTCCTGCTAGATATTTACTGTAGACCCCCCATACAAACATATTTTATCTCTAGATACTCCTCAATACCATAACGTCCCCCCTCTCTTCCTAGGCCTGACTCCTTCCACCCCCCAAACGGTGCATCAGGGACAGAAATGACCCCCTCATTGACCCCCACAAGGCCCGACTCCAGACGCTCGGCAACCCTCCATATCTGGCTAAGGTCACGGGAGTAGAAGTAACCTAAATATAAAACAAGTTGTTATATTAGAGAAGTTCCTTTATAATGCAACATACATGTACTTGTCTCTTTAAAAATTGAAAGACAATGACTGTAGTATTCATTATAGTATTCAGTTTACTTTTAGCAATCCCAGACTACATCTTATAAATATTTCACTCCTTTACATAAATGAATCTTAATTTTAAAATTTACACTGATGGTAACAAAATATTAAGATTTTCCTTTTATACCTTCATATTTCAACTATAAGCTTTGCTTCAGTAATTATTACATAGGAACAGATCATAATTAAACTTAAAGTTTCAGACGTATAGACAACATAATCCGAATTTATTAATTTTTTTTAATCCATTCTCACCTGCTAGCCCAGATGTTGTAGCGTTTGCTAGACCAACTACTTCCTCTTCAGTTTTAAACCTTTAAAATATTTTAGAAACATAAAAAAAGAGAACTCCAAATTATAATTAAATTAATATAACTACAATACTTAGTGAGAATGGATGTGAAAAATGTACTTTGTTGATGGATTTGGACTTTGATATAGAATTATTATCCATAATTTGCACCTCCTTTGAAGAAATAATGACATGTTAACTTGTCCTGATAACTGAACCAGATTCTGATTTGAGAATAAAAGTACATGCCTCAATGTGAAGGCGTTTATGAAGGTACAAAATAAGACTGAACTTAGTTATATCACATAATTTGTTATGTGCATCAGTTATTAGCCCTATTGTATGTACAAAGTGTACTTTGATGTGTTTCAATTTGACAATAACACCAATAAGGGGTCCCTGATAATCAGGATGTAGCTCAAAAGATCCCAAATAATAGAATAAGTCACTAATCAGAGACAAACCTGATGATGCCAGCGATGGGTCCAAATATTTCCTCTTTAGCACATCTCATATCATTGGTGACTCCTGTTAGAATGGTTGGCTCGAAAAAGTTACCTCCCTTGCTTTTCCCGCCACATACGACCTTTGCCCCTTTACTGACAGCATCCTGAACATGGCCCTCAATCTGGATTCAGTTTAAACAATACATTAGACTGCATACTGAGGTTTATTCATAATATATTGAGGATTTGATATGCTGCTGGCCCTTAGTAATCTTTAACTCCAATATTTAGAGAATATGTAAAAGTCATCTAGGACTCAATATAACTTTTTTATCTATGTAATTTTTCCCCTATAACTCGAATCCTGAAAAAAAAATACAAATAAATAAATATCAAATTGATTATTTATACAACCCAGCTTTGAATCCTGGACATGGCACAAATTCTGTTTCAGAACAGGAGAAAATATGGCTGAACTGGGAATCCAACGCTTGACCCCTATATTACTAGCCAAATGCTCTACTGACTGAGTTACCCAGTAATATTTCTGACCTAAACCATTACATTTACATATTAGGGAGGATGTTTTAGTGGACACTTGATTCAACCTACCTTTTCGATAGCCTTCTTGTTGATAAGAGGACCCTGGGTTGTAGCAGGATCGATCCCATCTCCCACCTTTAAGTCCTTCTCTACTACGGCTGCCATCTTCTTAACAAATTCATCATAAATACTCTCATGGACGAAAATTCTGTTAGCACAGACACAAGTCTACAACAAAAGCAGAACATACATCTGTCATCTGTATTAACAGATGAGTGTGAAAACATATTCCCTTCCTTTGTTAAAATTCAAATTAAGATAAATATTTCACTCTACAATAGCATGACTCTTTTTTTTAATCTTCCCCTTGTCCTTTAACTACTTAACACTAAAGCACTGGAATGTTATCTGTAGGTTGACACATTCTAGAATTATTGGTCATTCTGAGGTGTAGAGCAATGAAGGAAAAAGTAAAAATTGATTTCTACAGCTATAAAGGCAAATATATTCGGAAGCAATCTGAAACATATTAGGTTCTGATGATTACCATTGGGTATAAAACAACCAGGAGTTACCTGTCCAGAACACCTGAATTTTGCTCCCATGGCTCCTTGAACTGCTGCGTCCAAATCTGCACTCTCAAACACGATAAATGGTGCATTACCCCCCAACTCTAGGGAGACCTTCTTTACTGTGGAGGCACACTGCTGGAGTAGTAGCTGCAAAAAATGGGTAAATAACAGATTACATTTAAAACATTTGAAATGTCAACTAAACAAGAACTGCAATCGTGCATAAAACTCAATTATACTTTCATATATTGTTTGGACTTTTTATTCTTTAAAAAATTTGCTTTGAATTCCTTTTCTTGTCCATCACAAGGTAGGGACTCATGTAAAAAAAACAAAACACTTTGTTATCATGACTGTTCAAGGTCCTTGACCTAAATTCTATTCATTACCTTGCCCACGAAAGTTGATCCAGTAAATGACATTTTGGTCACTAGAGGGCTCTCACATATGGTTTTTCCAACCTGAGCAGCATTGTTACGGGAACTGGTAACAACATTGAGCACACCTGCTGGAATTCCAGCCTCCTTGGCCAACTGTAAGAAAAATACAAAGCTGTCAAAGAGGTCTATATATATATGTTAATAATTTTTTTTTTTTCGAATTATTCCTCTACTTGATCGACGTTATTATTGTATCAGTCCAATATGCCAGTCCATTTTCTTTCTCTTACTGAACAAGTGATCATAATGATTACCATAATCCGGTGAAAAGGTAGAATTCATATGGCTAATTTATATGTAGGGTGAGTTCACCATGCATCGGACACATACCTTGCTTCGGACAACTTTAGGCAATAAACTCTCTTTCAACTTATGAGTTCTGTGTATTTATTTGTTTCTGTCATAAAGACCAAGATTTAAATTTTTTAATGATACCGATTGTGTTTATCATGTTGTGATAAAAATACCCCGCAAATGGCCTTGAAGTTACGTCATATTTTACATCATCAAAGGGGAATAACCCGAAATTTATGATGTTGCAATTTGTAGAGTTATCGTTCTTTTAAACTCGACTTCCACGGAACGAGTCGGACTTTGATGAAATTTGTCAGGGATTGGTAATTTTACATAAATTATAATTAAATTTCACTTCAATGTTTGTTTAATTCTTATTAGAGCTGGTTTTTACTAGTATGCTATTTTCACCGTACATCGGACACAAATTAACCATGCATCGGACACTTTTCGATGCAAAGGTAAGTACTACCATTTTCATACAGATCCCAGCTGACAGCTGTTTTTTGCGGAAAAAGAAAATAAAAACTCTATATTTTCAGTCAAAATACAAGTTATCGATATATGACGTCTGGAATTTTACTCTATTTATTTCTACAAACCAGAGTATGATAAACCATGAGAAAAAGGCGCGAATTACGGCATTATAAGCATTTTAAAGCATTTCTAAGGCAGAGTGAGGTCTCTAGAATCGTTCTACATTTATGCAATAATATCGTCGATTAAATTACAGTTGAGGGTTATTTCTTAGATAAAAGATGAAAATATATCCATATCAAGGATTTTAAAGCATTGTGATAAAGGTATGATATTTTTCCGGTCTCCATACCGTCTGTCCGATGCATGGTGAACAATGTCCGATCCATGGTGAATTTTCTGTTTTTTCTAAAAACTCGATTTTTGGGGATATTTCCTCAATAAACGACATATAATTGTGTCCTAAATTGTTATTTTAATCACAAACTAAATGTTAAACTCCATTTTGATAATTTTCCGTCGGTAGCGATATCGCTAGAACTTGTTGAAGTACAAGGGTATCCGATGCATGGTGAATTCACCCTATATTAGATAATTACGTCATCAACTGCATATGACAGGAGACCCAGAACAGGTCAGATGTTAAAGAACTGGTTCCCCTACTTAACATCACAGAAAGCCAGTGCTGAATACAGCATGTAAACTGGTTCCCCTACTTACATCACAGAGCCAGTGCAGAGAACCAGAACAGGTCAGATGTTAACTGGTTCCCCTACTTACATCACAGAGGGCCATCAGTTCTAAGTACAGCATTTTAACTGGTTCCCGTACTTACATCACAGAGAGCCAGTGCTGAGTACGGTGTATCCTCTGCAGGTTTAAGTACCACGGTACAACCTGCTGCTATGGCTGCACCTGCCTTTCTAGTGATCATGGCATTGGGGAAATTCCACTGCAAAGAATGCATAAGATTTATATTTAAATTATTTAAGAAGTTACCAGTATACTAATATGTTTCAGTATATGTTACAAGTATTTTACCTGCTTAAATTTTTTTACATGTGACAAATTATCAGTAATTCTCCTAATACAGTAGATTGATTTATTATGAGCCAGAACTTTGTTAACTTTGAATCTTAATCCATAACTCTTGTTTTACAAAATATTTTATCAGTATTAATTACAATACTGTGAAATAAAAATTAATTACTGAGACTGCAAAATTAATTCCATTATAAATAGAGATTATAATGTTCATCTTAGTCATATACTGTAAATCCCCCCACACCCCCATTTCAAATTATATGAAATCAAGTACTCCATACTAAATATGTAATGGTGCATCTCTACCGACTTAGCTTATTATTGTCCTATTGTTCAAAAACCAAATAAGTGATTTCTTTCTATAGCTTCAAATAAAATTCAGACCACTTTGTTGCTCAAGCCTAATTCATAGTGCAATGAGATGAAAAAAAACTTTAATGTACAGGTTTTTGGATGCTGCATATTAATCTGAAAAAAACTGTTATGTAGCCCTTTTGCTTTACAAAAAGACTTTATCAAAAACAAACTATTCCTCAATTTTTGAACACCCTAATGCCATGGTCCATGATTAAAACCATATTAATTGTTAACTACATAAAGACACCATGCTTTCAATATACTGTAATTGCCTTTTCTTGCTAAATAGTTTTTGAGGAAAAGATTTATATATTCCCCTACTCTAAATGGATTTTCACTGTCTGAGATGAAACATATATTGTACTATTAATATTATTTTTATCTTCTACAAGGTCATCTAATTTTACAAGAAAGAAATGAATTTCCAAAATATGGCAATAAAAAAAGTTTACTGGTGTGATCATTCCGGAAACTCCGATTGGCTGCTTCAGGACGAGAAGTCGCCGTGATTTGATGGGAGTCTGAATTATGTCCCCTTCCACACGCTTACACTCCTCAGCAAATAATTCCAAAAATCCACCTCCATAAGTTATCTCCCCTTTGGCCTCAGCAAGAGGTTTTCCCTGCACAGATAAATTATTAATTTTAAGGTAGTCCGATCCTCAGGTTTATAAAATTAGCAGTTAAGTTATCAAAAATACTCATAAAAGTATCTCTGAATCCACAAAGCTATGTAAATTTATCCACGGTATTTCAATAAAGTTGAAGATGCAAGTTAATCATATTATATAGGGAAAATTGTCAAATCAACAATATTTTTGCAGAAAAAGCGAATTGGAATATCAGCAATGCATTTTCTAATTGCAAACTGATCAACAAATATATTTTAGGTTAAAAAACAATAGGTATCCAGGCATTCAGAGAAATTGTAATGATTTTTACACTTATTTAGAAATTTTTGTCTCCTATTTCTGTCAAGTATTCTATAATACATAGTGTAAAAGGCTTTTGCTATCATTGCAAGACACCACATTTCACTTCTTATTTCATATCATGCTAATAAGCATTGGTATCTAAGGCTGGATTCAAGAAAATCTTATTTCTCTAAAACTATGTTAATTTTTGCCTTTCATAGGGTACAAATGTCAACTTTTATAAAACCTTTTCTAAGACTTCCAAAAATCTTGAATCTTATAAAGATGAATAAAACCAAAATTGTTGCATGAAAAAATTTCATTTTTAAGCTTCATTTTGATGCATTTCAAATTAAATATTAATTTTTGGAGTTACCCTTCCTGACTGAGGATCGGATATCCTCAATGCAACTATTTTAACTCAATATGTCTCATTAACTCTTCATTTCCAAACTATTAAAAAAATTAACATTAAATATTCAAAAGTGTTACATGTATATGCAAGGGTGCATGAATTAAATAAAATTTTAAAAAGACATTTCTTAATCATCTTTCATTCCATAATGCATTGTTATTCTGCAATGGTTTGTCAAAGTGTTAGTAATTTTAAAAAAATTATTATGGATGTATACTGGCAACATAAGAAATCCACATAGGATTGCTCAGAAATTATGATCTGAATCAATGGAATTATGAACCTGAAAAGAAAGTATTTTAACAGTAAGCTTAAATGTGTGACTGGATAAAAAGAACCTACCATCTCTGAGGTGAGAAGCTTAGCTAACTCATTAATGTTCTCACTGACCAAATTCGCCCATTTTCTCAGCAAAATGCTCCTCTCCTAAAGAAAATAAAACAAAAAATCACATAATAAAAATGTATCAAAAACATTTCATTTAATACAAGTAGAATGAAGCTTATAAACAAGAGGCCCACGGGCCTTATAGGTCACCTGAGTATCATGTAACAACTTTCCAGCAATTGTATTTGGTTTGTTTTAATCCAAAGCCATGGAATTCACAAATTTTGAAGGAGGCACCATTGCTTATCAAACGGGCAGATTTCAAAGCATTAATTTATTTTAGTCAAAGTACCCCCCTGGTACCCCTGACCCAGCGGCCCTGAAATTATCTATTTTGAAAGACGCCCCTTTCTTCATTATAAGGCCAGCATTTTTTTATGTTAAGGTTTAGTCATGAAATGAGAATAAAAAAGTCCCGAAGGAGAAGGAAATAAAATTTTTTTTTTGATAAATCAATTATTAACATTTGTACATTCTTTTTTTATGCTATTCTAATAGGCTCCTTACCACTGGACACATAATGCTTACAAATAGGAAAGTAGAACATTTAATTGCTTATTTCATCATCTGCCAGTTTGGGCCAGTTATATAAATTTTGTGATGCTGGTCAAAATATATTTTAAAAAATCAATTCTTTAAAAGTCTTTCAATATATCTTCATTTTTTAAATATGTGTTAGGTAAATGTATAGACATTGTTCTAAAATTTACTTGTTGCCTAAAATTATAATTCCTATCATAAAACAGACAGGGAGTACTGGGGAGTAGGGTGAACATTTTTTCAATTAAGTTAAGTGTAAAATAATTTTTCTGGCTTATACAAATGATACTACATGCCTGTATATATTTGTATATTCTTGCCTTTTAATAGTTGAATTTTTTGTTTTATTTCTTCAGGTTATTGTTTATTTCTTCCTCAAATGGACTTAACTTCTCCCAATAGTTTTATTCATTACATCTGATGCATAAGCAACCCTTTTCTGAAGAATGATGCTTAGACTGTAAGCTATAACAGAGACCTAAACAATGTCGCTGGCAATATGCAATAGCTACCACAGGCAGTTTAAAACCTGGTGGAAGAAAATAATTAACAGACACTTTTGAAACGAATACATAATTATCTCACCAGCATGTCATTGTGCAACAAAGTCGTCAGCATTTTATTTGTCCTTTGAACGGGTGAAACGTTTTGAATGGCACTCGTATCGATGAATTTTACACTAAACCAAGTTATCTTCTCAGATCTAGCTTTATTTACCCGCCGTTTCATCTCGTTTCTCCTTAAAACCGGAAGTGCGAGTTCGTAAACTTGAAATCTCGATCCCGACTCAAATTTGACATCGGAAAGAAAAAAATTGTTTTATTTTTTTTCTGAAAATTCAAAACCTTGAGCGGAGGGTTTGTAAAACTGAAAATAAAATAAATCCTGCCCTTAAATATGTAATTAGATCATTAGTATATTAACCAGGAGCAATGGATAAGATGTTCAAAGAATACATGCATTTCACTATATAATCATTAGATCCCCACCCTAACACCGGAACCCCTGACCCCAGGGCCATGAATTTCACAATTTTGGTAGAGGCACTCTTGCTCATCATAACTATGTACTTAGTTGGTTTATTTAATACCCAGGAGCAGAGAAAAAGATTTTCAAAGAAATATTGCATTTTCACTACCTACTTATTTAGCCCCGCCCTAGCACTAGAACCCCTGACCCCAGGGCCATGAATTTCACAATTTTGGTAGAGGACTCATTGCTGATTACAATCATGCAAACAGTTTGACTGCTTGATGTCCAGGAGTAAAGAAGAAGATTTTTAAAGATTGCATTAATTTTAGTGGTTTTGGCCCCACCCCTCAGGCCCCAGGGGGGCAGGGATCATGAAATTCACAATTTTTGTTCCCCTTTACCCATAAATGCTTTGTGCCAAATTTGGTTGAAATTGGTTCAGTGGTTGCAGAGAAGAAGCTGAAAATGTTCAAATGTTAACGCACGACGGACGACGCACGACGACGGACGAAAACAGATAGCAATAGGTCACCTGAGTTTACTCAGGTGACCTAAAAATGTATACATGACATATA